CTACGTAGCGTTTCAAAGAGAAAGGCTCTAGATCTAAATCTTTAATATCCTATATATATATATATATATATATATATATATATAAGTCAGGTATGCCATCCCACAAACTGACATTGCGGAAAGACAGCATTGTCATATTGCAGAGAAACCTGGACCCCACAAACGGCCGTTGCAAAGGGACTTGATATGTGGTTCAACACCTCCATCAACACGTAATTGATGCTGTCGTTGTTTGCGATCCAGATGCCGCAAAGAGACTTTTCATCCAAAGGATTACCCTCATGCCTGTATACTACATACTATTTCCTTTCCACATGCGACGTAATCCATTTCCGGTTAGACCTGCTTTAACAATGACTGCCAACAAACCCCAGGGACAGACTTTGAAAAGGATTGGGAGGGGTTTTTTTTGCTGGGAATTTTTTTTTCACATGAACAATGTTGTATGTCGCAATGAGTGATGTTGGGTCCAGGGACTCTATTAAAATGCATGCAAACAGACCTGCTGCCCAGGACGGAGTTCCAGATGGCGCATATATACCAGCAAAGTTGTCTACATAGGGGCCCTACGGCAATGAATCAGATACAAACATTTAACCTTGGGATTTCCTATCACAATATTACCGTTCGCAGAACAGGTCTGTATCTAGTCCTTAAGAAGACTAGATTCATTTACCATTTCTGATTTTAAAGTTACTCTAATCTTTGAAATTATTATTAATAAAATATGACGTATTATCATTTTTTGGGGGCAAAAGTATGTTCTTTTCTGAACTTTGAAAATTACTAATTTAAATTTGAATATGCCTACAGGCAGTAAACGTGGTTTAATGATTGCCTTAGTAGCTGTAGTGCACAAAAGTGTGGAGTTTTATTCTCGTGTATCGAAAGTGCTCAGGTTTTTTCGTGAGAGTTCTGCGTTTCACATTGCTTGAGATTACCATTGCAGGCTGGATCAAAGCAGCCAGCCTCCTATTAATCCAAACTTTATCGATATGGGTACAGAAGGGTTTCCATGTAATAACTCGGTTTATGTTCTTACGCTTATAAAAATGTTCGATATTTGTTTTTCGGTTTTCCTTTCGATCTGAACGGGTAAAATTTGTAATGCCTTTTTTTTCTTAAAAAGCAAAACATAATCCTACAGGTATCGGTGGTCATGATTTGCAATTCATTTCTTTGCTTGGATGCTCTCAAAAACACGCAGTTATACCCGTTACCAATCTGTTCATGCTTATATTGTACCGGGTACCGTATGTAACTCGGTCATCCCTGTACTAATTTCATTAAAAGTTTTAGCCTATTATATAATTTAAAAGTCTCTATTTGATTCAAAATTATGGATCTTAAGATGTAAGCTTTAAGGCTTCTTCAGTCTGTCTTACAACTATTTCATCCCACCATATCCTCACAAAGTCAATCTTTTCTTTTATTAATCACCTGTTTTCTCAAAACGTAGTTTTTCAATATAGATTTTTAAAGAATTCCACCATTTGTTGTCTTATCTTCACAAAATTTTCACAGGATGAAAAGAGTTGAATTTTCGATATATGGAATAGATTTTTTTGGATTAATTCTTGCGTGTGGATTTTCACGATTTTTAATGTTGTTGTTGTTGTTGTTGTTGTTGTTGTTGTTGTTGTTGTTGTTGTTGTTGTTGTTGCTAATGTTGTTGTTATTGTTGTTGTTGCAAATTTGAATACTGATTCTAGAAAAAAAAAATCGTAAAGATTTTTAGCTTGTTAAGGAGACATTCAACAAAGAATTTCGTAGACCTCATATCTGCTCACATGCATGCAAATTATCAACAGATTTCATGATAAATAGGTGAGGTGTTCACTGCTCAACTCATGTCAACAAATCCAATATGGTTTCCGTCTCCATGACAACAGAATTTCTCAGATTTGATTGCGGATTTCTAAACTCCCCATTATGCTTATTATAAAATGTGAAATTTTGTAAAATGTGATTGACTAATAAGTGGGATATCCTTCAAGCGTAGCCCCCCCCCCCCACTTCCGGCCCTCCATTCTGATCCCTGGCCTATTCTCACAAAGCCGAATGCATCAATGTATTGCAAGGCGATAATTGAGCCAAATTGTTCTCTGTCAGTTTATTTTCTCACCCTGTCTCTTCTTGTGATTTTTTAAAGTTTTTTCTTGAGCATCTCATTCGAAAGGCTTTAATTGTATTTTGCTCCTACTTGTTTATTGTCCTTGTTTGGACTTGGTAGCACAGTGAATGTTATGACTGTGCTTTAACGAGTAGGCTCTTTGTTTCCATTTTTTTAATGTGAGAGTAATAATTCCAGTTAGTAAGCCACCGTTTGGGCTATTTTATTCTGGTTTCTAATCTGCTATCCACATTTGCATACTTTTATACTAGCTGAATAAACTTCCCAAGCATATGAACTCTTGTACTTGCTTGCTTTGCTGCTGTAGACCGCAATGTTCCGTAGGTGTAGAGTTTGGCCGATAGAAGAAAGTGAGTCAGCCTTTTTTTTAATTGCAGGCAAAGGGTACATAATATTATTTCTCTTTTATTGTTTTTGAATGTCTACCTGTTTTTCAAAATTTCAAGTCAAATTAAAGTTCACGACCCTGGGCATAAAGTGTACTTTTCCACTCATGGCAGATCTCATGCGTTTTGTATAAATACCCCGAGACCTCAAGCCTTTTTGTGTTCAAGCACTTTGCTTAACAGGTAAGTGTTTCACGCGGCATCTTAGCTGTGATGTTATTGTTAAATACTAACCATTAAAAAGGTATCATGTTTGAATTTTTATAAATTCTAGTCTTTAAATTTTTGTGCTTTAATTATTGTTTACAGCTGCACCACTTTAAAAAAACAAACAAACTAGAACATTGCTTTTTTATTTATTTAAAAAAAAATGAAGTTAAAGTCAGCTCCCCAAAAGCCACAACAACATTTTTTTGGGTATTTGATCGTTGTCACCAAAGAAAGATGGGAAGGTTTAACTCAACAAAAGATAAACCCAGCCATTGGCATTTCCCCCACAAAGTAAGTGTTTCTTCTGTTGCCAGAACATTCAAGTTTCAACGCCATCTGGCTTACAGATTAAAGTCTAAGACATTGACTTGTAGAATGAGCAGCTATCCTAATGCGACTCTTTGAAATGTTGTTATTACTATTGGTACAACACGTTATTGGTCGGTTTTGAGAAAACACAGTCTGAAAGTGCCCTTTTCTCAGTTGACTGATATGACTTTCTACTGACATTTAATGCCCATTATTTGGCTCGATATAGAGTTACTTTCAAAAGAGTGCGATTGCTGAGCTATGATAGTGAATGACACAATGCATAATATATTTAATATAGACGGCATAAAGACTAAACTTCATAGGGCTAATACCAACACATTAACCCATCACTACTGACAGAGTTGTGAAATGGTACAATATTGTACAAGCAGTTTTAGTGTCGCATTCGTGGATGTGTGCCTCGTTACTCGTCCCCAATCTTCTCTATGTTGTGACTTGCATACTATTTCGTACTTTACTGTTTGAGTCATGCCTGAGGTGATCTCGAAATAAGAATTATGACTTTGCAACTATACTCTTTTTTCTGACTCGTGCATTTTGGCACAAACAACGGGTATCGTGACGTCACGCCAACAGACGGGCTTAATGGTTTGTACATAATAATGTTTTTTTCGTTTGATAGCCGAATCAAAAGCTCTTCGATTGAGCAGTCCTTTCTCATGTTTTGCATCCAGCTCGGTGTTGTGAGCGGTCTATATTAGGGGTAATTTTATCTATATTAAAATGGCAGAAAGAAAAAAAGAGATAAGGATGATGATACGAGGATTAAAACTTCCCTGTTGTTTCTTAAAACAAACTTAAGTCAGTTAATATGATTTTGAAACCTGAAAATGTCATATGATGACTTTGACATAATTTATATTCCGTGATACTGTATTTTTACGAATTCAATTCGCTGAGAAACATTTTAGGTCTGATTTTACGAACGAGTGCGTGGCAAAGTCTTGATATAAAGTTATCAGATTTAACTGATACCAAAGTAATGCAGAAAAATGTTGAAGAATTACTGGAGTGCGTAAAAATATTAACATACCTAAGGAAAAGGAGTCTAGTATTCATGCATGAAGGAAGGTAAAACATTGGCTTTAGTAAACAAACAAACAGTAGTCACCTGTCGCTTTTTTGGCATTATTATGATTGACACTTGTCATGAATGAAGACCCCACTACATCCACCCCCCCCCCCCCCAAGAGAAATAATACAAATACATTTTTAAAAAATGATAGTAATAAAGTAACAATACAAATGAAAAAAATCTATAAAAAACAAAAAAAGAAAATTATTCTCCTCCTTGCCCATTCCAACTCGTTAATTTAGGGAAGGCTTGGGGGCTTAGTGCTTTGCTATATGTAGGTCCTGGTTGAGATTTATCCTTCCCCTCTCCACCTTTTCCAGAGTTTGATTTAGTGAAAACTGGAAGACTTAGTACATTGCTAAATTAGGCGATGGTGGAGATGCTGTCGAGGTAATGTTATAATATGACCATTCCTGTCTGTCTATCTTTCTTTTCTCTTATGTTTTGGTTCCAATAACGATTTTCCTTTCATTCAGGTATAGTGTCTAAAGCATGTCCAAAATAATAGAGAGCGAAGAATTTGTTTTTCATTAAAACGTTTTACTCCTCTACCAACACAGTTAAGATCACTTAGAGACAGGTGCACGACCCTGCCTGTTAGGGCAAACATGGACGAAAAGAATTCGAAAGAAGAAAATACCAAAATACTAGAAAAATACAGATTTTCTTCCCACCCGGGAATCAGACTTGGCTCCTGCGTGAGACAGTGAATCGCCTTACCGCTACATCAGAGTGAGAGAGAGAGAGAGAGAGAGAGAGAGAGAGAGAGAGAGAGAGAGAGAGAGAGAGAGAGAGATGGGGGGAGAGCGAGAGAGAGAGAGAGAGAGAGAGAGAGAGAGAGATACAGAGAAATAGAGAGAGAGAGCGAAGAGCTGATTTGGCCATTACAGTATGCTGTCTAGGAATAGGGTTTTTGACCTTCTTTGGAATAATAGAAACAATTATTATTTCAGAATGACTTCACTTTACCTAGTATCAGCTCTCCTCTTAGTTGCGGCTCCAAGCTTGGTCCTAGGTCAGTTTACGCATGTGTTCGTATGTCTGAGAGTTTCTAATTTTTAAAAAAAAATTGTTGTGATTGAATGTGTTGTCTCAAAGAATGTTTGCGCAAGTGCAACGTACAAGTCTTTGTGAAATGAAAAGGTATAGTCGGTGGTTGGTGCGGCTCAGGTTTTGATTTGCTCCTTTTTTCCCCTGTCAAACATCAGCTGTCGCCCATATTGTTGAAAAATTCTTAATAAAACAAGAAAAGATGTACCGTTAGGTTGCATGTGTAAAAGAGTTACCATCATTAGAGGAGTTTGTAAGGTTTGGTTTTAAATTTGAACGAGTTTGTTTGGGAGAAAAACATACAGAAATAGAGAGAGAGGGGAGAGAGAGAGAGAGAGAGAGAGAGAGAGAGAGAGAGAGAGAAAGAGAGAGAGAGAGAGAGAGAGAGAGAGAGAGAGAGAGAGAGAGAGAGAGAGAGAGTCTGAATGTATGATTCTAAATGTGTAATATCGGTTTTAACGAACACGTAAATAATTAGGCTTTCTATATTGACAAGTACGTCAAGCCATAAGATTGGCTCGCACTGTTTAAAAGAACAAAACTCATACAAACAAAACAAACTAAAACAAAACAAAAACCCTCTTCCAGGAGCCAAGGATTATAGCCAAGCTTTGGGACTGTCCAACAAGTTCTACGAGGCTCAGCGTTCCGGTCCAATCAACGACAAAATTGTGCCATGGCGTGGCAACTCTGGGATGAGCGACTGCACAGTGGGTGGCTGGTACGACGGTATGTACATGTATTCTCGTAATTTAAGATCAATGGAGATTTATTGTACGGGCACTCCGTTAACACAATTGGCATTATGCTAGACTGTGGAGTTGTTGGTCCTGGTTCGAATACCGGACTAGACGTTCTTGAACTCGGGTGTGCTTTTTTTTCTTTTTGAGTTTTTCAATCAAGACTCTGAACACATGCTGTTGCAGTATTTTTATCTGTGGTACAGAATCCATAAGCTCGAGCTTTTAAAGTGTTTAAATTATGTGCAAAGTTGTTTAAAATAATGAAATCGTTTTTCCTATTTCATGTAAAATGTTGCTTTCTGGACTTTAGATGTTTTACTAGCAGGCCAACAATATTCATAAGAATGAGAATCTCTCTTTTTGTAAGTGTTTTACTGCTCTCGCAAATTTCATAAGGTCATATGAGAGCACGGGTCCCATTTATCCTTTTCAGTTTGATAGGAATGAATTTTAAATTTTGCAAGACCATCAACAATTTATTTATAGAGGCACCAGCCATCCATGTTCAGGTGCTGTTTTAGCCGAAATTTTGCAAGATTGGTGGCAGAAGCCTACTCTTATCGATTTTAGGACCTTCGAGGAATTTTTAACGTGCACAACTTGCACACGGGACCTCCAAAAATGTTTGCCCTCATCTGAGAAGGGTAGGTGTTAGATATTACCTACCCTAAGATCAGGGGTGTGGCTGAAAGACAGCAATAAGAAAGAGCCAAGAAGCAGCAGTAGAAAGGCTTCAAAAACAGTGAGGAGCCCAGAGGATTCGGCAAATGGTGAGGGAGGGGGGTAGGAAAGTGAAGACGAAAGCAGACGCCAGCACATAGGTAGTAGGAAAGGAGGTTAGAGGAGAACATTTTTAGAGAAAAACATTTTTCTTCACTGTCAGGTTTCAAACTCTTTGGCCTATGAATGAGGTACAAACACCGTACCTCTAGAACACGAAAGCCTCCCACCCCCCCTCCCCAACCCTTTTTCTTGGCATCTTTAACCTACCATAGGCGTGTCTCAAACATTATAGATCACCAAACCCTTTTCAAGTTTCTTATTTAAATCAACACTTTATTATTTGACAATTCTATGTGGTCAATGGAATGTTTTGTTTTAATTTCCTTTATCATTTCATAAAATTGCTAGTTGGGAAAGATAAATATGGGGTCTGATGTATTTGGACATCGTTTTTAGATTTACATTTGAATAATCTGAAATTGAATTTATTGAAAGCATCACTCGATTTAATGAGTTTATAATGACGTAGTAATTACAGAAAACAACAGGATTTAAAAAATAAAAAACAGAAACAAAAATGTAGAGAACATTGAATTTATTCAGGCTTGTTTGTTCTATTTGTTGATCTAGTTTACATCAACGTCGTCATACGCTTGCTGTTGGTTGAAAAGCCTCAACATTATTCCTCTAAGAACGGCGTAAAATGGTTGAAAATACCGTCTCTTTCGTCGCGTCGCAACATGATTGGATTAGTGTCTTCGGGTACATTTTTCAAGAGAAGGAAAAACTGAGTTGATAAGAGGACAGCGGTCCGATTTTTAAACTGTCAGAAAGTTCACTTTTGGTTGAATATTTGAATATATATATATTTTTAACCAGCATATGAAATGTGCTTTGTAGAATACCTATCGCATAAAAAAGGAAAAAGCGAACATATTGCAGCTATCAGATTTTTTTTACGATGGCAATGATAATAAAGATCTCAAGCAACCTTTGCGCTCTTCTCCAGCTGGAGATCACCTCAAATTCGGACTCCCCATGGCGGACTCTGCCCATACCCTTTTGTGGTCTCTTTATCGGTTCAAGGATGGCTATACCAGGGCCAATCAACTGAACCAGATGTATCACATGATTAAGACCCCACTGAACTACTTCAAGGCTGCTTGGGATCCAGCTCTTCGTAGGCTCACTGCACAGGTGAGACACTAGAAGTGAATGGTTAACGGGTGCTCTGCTCTGGTGTGGTTTGCTCCTTCGTTGTTATGAAACATCTATCGTCCTTATTTCTCGTCTTTCTTTCTTTGTTTGTGTCACCTCTTGCAACACCTCTAATCCTCTGCACTTCTATGACCTTATCGTGGTGCAAGTTCGAGAAAACATTAACAAAAACAAAAAAGACAAGAAGAATTTGATCTTAGTATCCAATGCATTTATTGTTCCTTACACTAACAATCGCGAGAAAACTGAGATCATTTCAGTGTCGAAACACTTTGTGTAACGGATGTTGTTTCTTTATCAGTATCAAGAATACTTGGCTTTTGACATTCTGTCCCAGACCCACATCACGGTCCTAACTCTTGATATAATATAATCCCAAATTGTGAGATTTTAGTTCAATTTTGGTCAAGCAACGGGCATCTGGTAGAAAACCACTGTAACCAGTCTTTGTTGTTTAATTTGAAGTTATCGATTTCATCGCTGAAATAGTTTTCGTTAAAAAGGGATTAAAATGAAATAAATATTTTATTATACAACCTCTATTTACTGTATACATTTTATTTGTCTGTACCCTATAACCCATCTGGTCACACCTTCCAAGTAAGCTGTTCTGGGTATCCTCCTGCTTCAATTCTTTTAGTTATAGTAGTGACCACTAGTAGTTCAGGAGCTTTGATGTCGGTGCAAGCATAAGAAAAATAAACATCCCCCGCCAAAAACAAATTTAAACGCTAAGATAGACCAACAAAACAACCCCTGGTCCCAATAGAAAAGCAAAAAAAGCCAAAACAACCCCCCCCCCCAAAGGGAAACCAAAATAACAACAAAATCCCTCATTCGTAGATTATGATAGCCAGTTGAATAATTTGATCACTGCTCGCTCGCCCTACAGGTGGGTGACGGTACTGCCGACCATGCATTCTGGGGCCGTCCCGAGGACATGAAAATGTCGAGACCGTGCATGTACGTCGACAGCAGTCACGTGGGAAGCGACATCGCTGGAGAAACAGCTGCTTCTCTGGCTCTTGGATACCTCACTTTTAAACAAAAAGGTCAGGATGCTATTTTTTAAACGCCGTTTCCTATTCAAGACTTTCTGTGTGTTCGTTTGAAATCAGCATGTTTTGTTAGTTTGGCATGAGCGTGGGCCGGAAAGACAAGACATCATAATTAAGAAAAAATACATCTTTTAATGTGGAAAGCATCTGAAATTTTAACATGTACATTCTCTGCTTTGATGAATTTTACAATTTTATGGTTCTGCACTAGAAAAATTAATTCCATCATTTTGGACAACCAAAATCCCGTAGTGGCATATCAAGTAATATAATGCGGCAGTAACATGACTTTATTGTGTTGCAAGTGCCGTAAAACGTTTACTTAGACTAAGCTGCAATAAAATTAAATCATTTTTGTGGAGGCTTGGCTAAGAGAACCTCATTTCGTCCTCAGAAAGTGGTTATGCAACCCAACTCCTCAACAAGGCTAAGAGTCTGTATGCCTTTGCTAAAACCCGTTCCGGTGTGTTTACTGGCTCTTCACAGTACTACCCGTAAGTGAGTTAATCGTGTACTCCATGGTATTTTGTTCAAAAGTATGAATGTACAAAGTGTGGACATGTTCAATAAATACCGTGAGAGCAAGAGAGAGAGAGGGGCAGCCAGTCGTGAAAAGAGAGTGAGAGAGAGAGAGAGAGAGAGAGAGAGAGAGAGAGAGAGAGAGAGAGAGAGAGAGAGAGAGAGAGAGAGAGAGAGAGATCAAATTTCTCTTTGTGGAGATCAATCTCACCAAATCTGATCTTGTCTTGTCTTAGATTGTCTCAGTTTGCTTTTACAGGACGTGGTGCTCAAACTAAACGTAAAACCCAACCACCCACAGGTCAGGCAACTGGAAGGACGAGATGTGCCTCGGTGCCGTTTGGCTGTACAGGGCAACAGGAACACAATCCTACTTGAATGATGCCAAGAGTTACGTGAATTTGAACAAGCCCTGGGCTCAAGGCTGGGAAGACAAAATGCTGGCATGTCAGGTAAATCAAATACCTGGCGTCTCTGACTCAGAGGTTGACGTGTAATGACCCTCCATCCTTCACGGTCGCTGGGTGTCGTTGCACATTCTTCTTTATCCAGGTCACTCCATGTTCTTATGTAGTCCATCCATTTTACTTATTTTTCTTCCCCTGGCTCTCCTGCCTCACATCTTTCCATCAAGCACCTATTTCACAATGGTATCGTGTCGTTTTAAGTGGCCAAGGTAATAGCGTGAGTTCATCGCTGCCTTAGAATTACAGAATTCTATCTGACAATTTTGGCCACTCTGAGTCACTAAGACCATAAAGTCAGGAAACCAATACATTTTCTACCTGCTCTATCAAAAGCGTAAGAGTATTCGGAGTCGTTGTCAGGATATTCAAAGAATTGCTTTCGAAACAGATTGGCAATGAACTTGAACTTTTTAAGGTCAAATATCTCGGGGAAGGAGGTAAACAAATTAAGCCGGCAGATTATTTGCCAACTTTGCTCCATCAGTTTGGAACCCCGCTTCTTCACGCCGAGACACAACATCTGAATTTAAATTGAAAACATAATAGAGATATATTTAATGAAGTCATTTCTTACCCAGTAGCATCACTATAGGTAAAAATAAATTGTAAAAGACAACGTGTCTATTTTTGTATGTTTTTATTATACATTATTTAAATGTTACAATAACTAACTCATAATAATGTAAATGCGAGCATAAGGGATGGGAGAGACACTGTGGGTTTTTGCACCATCTGGGTGTGCATGTGTGTAAATATATATATATATATTTGCAGACGTTTAACATTTCGTTGGCAAGTTGTATAAGTGTATTAAGGCCAGAAAAAAATGTTACGGGTAAAAAAAAAGAAGGGTGTCCTACTTTGACAAATGCACCTAATCAATGTAATCTCTTCCTCAACATTCATTTTAGAATCTGAATTTCGAAAATCTATTTTTGAGCGCATGCAACTAAAAACAATCAGATATAAATAAACCAACTGCAGTTTTAAAAAGAAACAAAAGAAAAACCAAGAAAAAACAAACAAACGAGAAACAAACAAAAACAAATCAAAATGTTTAGCTGAAAACATAACAGTTTGTCGACGATTGGGTACGTAGATGTGAAAGATATTTTCCGGTGTACAACACCATAATCCTTGTGTCTTCGTCCTGCATCTCTCCAGCTTCTGATGTTTGAAGAGACCAAGGATGCCAAGTACAAAAATGCCGTTATCAATTTCTTCAACGACTGGGCTACCAGTCCAGGAGCGGGTAAAGTGGACCAAACTCCTTGCGGTCTTGTCTGGAGAAGCCAGTGGGGTGCGAACAGATACGCAGGTAAATATATTTTTGGGGTTTGCTTTGGTAAATGGTTTACAGCATTCGCAACTGTATAAGCTCACATGAGCGCGCAGGACACATTAAGCATTTTCAGTTTCGTAGGAATTAATTTTGAATTTTGCCCAGATGGCGCTGAAGCCTACTGTTATCGATTTTAAAAGCACCAAAGAATCTTTAACGGGCTAAACTTGCACAGAGGACCACCGGGATTTCTCGCTTTTATCCGAGAAGGATGATGGTAATTATCTAACTTACCCCATGATCAGGGGTGTTGCTGAAAGGCAGCAGTGAGAAGGAGCTAAGAAGTAGCAGTAGAAAGGCAGCTGAAAGAGCCAGGGACCCATACGATGGGCCAAAAGGTGGGGGGGGGGGGGGAGACAGTGTAGACAAAAGCTGGCAAAAAACACGGTTATCGAAAAGGAAAGGCGGTGAAAAGGGATAATTTATTAGAAGAAATTTTTCCGCTGCTGTCAGATTTCGAACCCTGGACCTTTTAAATGAAAGGTGAACACCGTATCTCTAGACCTCGGTAATTATTGGTACTTATGGAGAACTTTTCACTTCCCTTCTACTATTTATCCATGCTGCAACATTTGGATGATCAAATAGGTAGATAGATAGATAGATAGATAGATAGATAGATAGATAGATAGATAGATAGATAGATAAATAGATAGATAGATAGATAAATAGATAGATAGATAGATAGATAAGCATTGCCCACATAACATTGAAAAGTGTAAGAATCTGTAATTGACCCCGTCCAGCTGTGTTTTTCTCAGGTTCCAGAAACATACGGATATTTATGGAAAACTTTGCCATAAAAGAGTTTTTGTTGAAAATTGATAATCCAGGTTCCGTTCTAAAACCAATTAAATTAACGTTTTTCAGTCTTTAATCTTGGTGGAAGTATATAATTGTCTAGGATCACGTTCTCGTGAAAGTTACTTACTTATTTACTTACTTACTCTCTCCCTATACCGCCTGGTACATAAGGCATGCCTGTCGGGCCACTTTTTCTAATTTTGGCACATCTAGGCCCTGGGAGATTGCCTCATCTCTTATTGTGCCTCTGTAGCTTCCAGATGGTCTTCCCCGCTTTCTCTTCCCTTTTGGTTTCCAATGCATATATGATAAGGCAATCTCGTCTTTGGCATTCTCAGTTCATGTCCCAGATATTTCCATCTTCTCTTTTTTATTGTTGTGTTGATGTCTTCAATTCAAGCCCTCTCCAACACTCCATTACTTGTAATAAATTCATTCCATTTTATTAGTAAAATTTTTTGTAGACATTTTGTTTAGAAGCTTTTTGATATTTGTTGAATTGTTTTTCTTTGTTTTCCATATCTGTGAACCATACGTCAATGCAGCCAAGATTTTGCTATTATATATTTTTAATTTTGTCTTCAATTAAATGATCTTCGACTTCCATAATAATATAATCTTACGTTTCACAAAAGGGATCCTTGCGTTTTTAAGTCTTTGGTGGACGTCGTCAAGGCAGTCAGCAGTTTTTGATATAATGCTGCCAAGGTATTTGAATTTTCTAATTTCTGCAAGGAGTTCTCTATAAAGAGTAATGGACGTAGTTTCTGATGATAGTCGTTGTACTTCTGTTTTGGATACATTTATTATAAGGCCAACTTTTTCCGCAACTATTGCTTGTTCGCTTTATAAAAAATTGCATTTCATGTACTGAGGTGTTTAATAGGCAGATGCCATTCACAAAATCTAGATCTCCTAAATATATGCCATTTGTCCTTCCAATGCCTGTTTCAATGTATTTCTCTGTCTCATTACAAAATCGATCACAATTCCAAAAAGGACAGGTGATACAGCTTTGTCTAACACCAGTGGTTACTTCAAAAGGTGTATATTATAGTTCTCCTTTAACTAGGACACAGCAGATTGCATTTGCAAAATTGATCTCCTGAAATGGTAACAGAAAATGCATACTTGGCACACTATTTTTAGTGTGATGAAGTGAAGGAATCAGGCATTCGTCAATTTTTGGGCTTATGGAGTTATTGGCATAATCTTAAAGCTTGTTCATTAGTCTAGCCTTCGAAGAAAAAAAATGTCGTTCAGTCTGGAATAGAAGTCGCGATGTTTTCGATAGGAGAAGATGAAGCTTGAGAATCCTTGGAAACAAAAAATTATATTTTTGAGCCTTTAATCAACATGTCTTTAATAAAATCCACTGAGAAATATGTTTAGAAAAGGAAATATAATGTAGTGAGCCAACAGAAAAGAAATTCGATCAATATTGATAAACTAGTTTGTAAAATGCTGAATTCTTCGATTTTTAAATATTTTTTTTTACCTGCGCCTGATTTCACCATGATGCCTCACATTAAGACTTCCTGATAAAAAAGGCCGCTATTCTTTCAAAGCAAGCTAATTGTTCTGTAAATATCACCAAATATAACGTCAGTGTGTCCGTGTTTTAGTAAGAGTTTTACGGCACTTGCAACACAACGATGTCAGATAAGTGCCATAGATAAGAGGTGTACTCAGAGAGTAACAAACACGAAAACGTTGCGAGTAAAGAACAATACATTTTTGATAGGAAGGTAGAAGTAAACCACATCAGAGCACCAGCCAACCCTCACCCCCAACCACACACACACACATACATACACACACACTCTCACACACACTCATACACAATATGCTTTCCAGCGTTTAATTTTGATTTTTGACTCTATTCCTTATCTTTTTCTTGACAGAAGACAAATTAGACTGAAGCTGCCGAGCTCCTACAACGATTTGCCTTCATATCTATCTATCTATCTATCTATCTATCTATCTATCTATCTATCTATCTATCTATCTATCTGTCTATCTATTCATCTATATATTTATCTATCTATCGATCTATCTATCGTTCTATCTTTCTATCTATCTATCTATCTATCTATCTATCTATCTATCTATCTATCTATCTATCTATCTATCTATCCCATCTATCTGTCTATCTATCTATCTATCTATCTATCTATCTATCTATCTATCTATTTATCTATCTATCTTTCTACCTATCTATCTATCTATCTATCTATTTATCTATCTATCTATCTATCTATCTATCTATCTATCTATCTATCTATCTATCTATCTATCTATCTATCTATCTATCTATCTATCCATCTATCCATCTATCCATCTATATATCTATCTAGCTATTTATCTATCTATTTATCCCATCTATCTATCTATCTATCTATCTATCTATCTATCTATCTATCTATCTATCTATTTATCTATCTTTCTATCTATATATCTATCTATCTATCTATAGTACATACTATCTTAATTTATATCTGCTAGTAATTTAACACAGTGAAATAAACTAAATGAGATGCGAGCAATGACTTTTCAAAAATTAACCTGGTTTCCAACACAACCGATCTTATGTTCTCAAAATAATAATACTTACCCGTCTGTGTATCTGTGTGAGATGAGAACAATGACTTTTTAAAATTAAAAGCCCGGTTCCAACACGACCAATCTTAATTGTTATTTGTCTTTGTATTCACCTTTGGGGGATGAGAACAATGACTCTGGTTTTTTTTGTTGTGCCCTGATTCGAACAAGGCCAACATTAATCTTATTAACCTGTCTCTGCTCCTGTGTAAGATGAGAACAATGACTTTCTTTTAAAGAACTCGGTTCCCAACAATCTTAATTTGTGAGTTATCGTGGTGAAACCAGGCGCTAATAAAACTAAAGAATCGAAGAAACAGGCATTTTATCCTCCAATTTGACAATTTTATCCGATTTATTTAATAATTTTTGTTGTGTGTGTGGGGGGGGGGGGGGGGTCTAATCATTTTTTCTACCCATATAAAAACATAGTTGGATGTGAATTGAACTAAAAAATGTTGATTAAAGGCACAAATATTTTGTGAATCTCCAGTTTTCAAGGGCTCTCTCAAGCAACATGTATCGAACTTTCCAAAATACGGCGGTCATTTTCTGGCTAATTAATTTACCTCTGAAACCAGACTACCATACTTATCTCCAATTCTGTTCAAGATAGATGGGCCGGTTTTCATTGAAAGCATGGCAGATGACTTCACATGCCCAAAGAATTGACGAGCGCCTAATTCTACCACTTTGCGACACGTTTATTTATTTCCCTGTCAGTTCACCTGTGTACTGACGACATTGCGGAGTGAAACAAGAAATCATTCGCCCAAACTAAGGCGCTCGCAAAAAAAAAAAGAACCAGTGAAAAGTGGAGGCACCTGACGAGGCTCTCTATCATATAGCGCCACTAAGATCCTCGTGGATTATGGGATCTGTAATCAGTAAGCAAGCACCTGTGAAAAGATGAGAACAAGGACTTAACTTAAAGAATCCGGTTCCCCACACAGCCAATCTTAATATTTTCCATGTCTGTTCGTCTGTGTCGCAGCTAATGCCGCCTTCATCGCCTTGGTCGCTGCCGAGGACGGAATCAACGCAGCCTCTTACAGAAAGTTTGCCGTGGAGCAGATCAACTACATCCTCGGTGACAACAAAAAGAACGCCAAACAATGTTTCAGCTACGAGATCGGTTACGGAAACCATTACCCTCAACAGCCCCATCACAGAGGATCGTGAGTAGACCTCAGCCTTCTACACCCACTCTTACGCCCAAATTTTGACACCCCCCCCCTCCAACAACTATCCTTGTATGAATTTGAACTTCATAATAAGATAATATTATGTTCACAGTGCTATCTACGTTGTCAAAGACGGATGCCTATTGTCAGAAGAAAAAATGGACGTTTTAGACAGTCAAATTAATTTTCTATAACGGCCACCCGCAGTCAAGAGCGAAAGAGGGAGTCTTAGAAAGGTGGACATTACACAGCTCCGTTGTAATATTAACTAATTCACAAGGGAGGAAAATTCAAGTGGCCGTTGCCACAGGTGATTGTCTCATACAGTTTGCGTATAGAGCAGGCTTGGCTTTATTTTTAAGTAAAAGCCTACTTTAGACTGTAGTATTTAAATACGTTATAAGCATAGCATTATGTTGTACAAGACACCACAGCAGCCTAATTGCTACCTCAGAATTACAAAGCACTATCTGCTCAGTACCTAGTTTTGAGAAATTTTACGTCAAAGATTTTGAGGTTTACGGCATGTCGAGCTTTTTGGAATGCAATTCTTAGAATATCTTGATAATGGCTCCGAATAATTTTGCAATTTTGATAGAGCTAATAAAACATTTGGGTTCTGACCTCATGGTCTTAGTACATGTAACTCAAAATAGCCCCAAAAAGGTAAGACAGAAATGTCTAATTCAGAGGTAGGGTAATGTGAACTCTCAGAGAGTGGAGAATGTGAGTAAAAGGTCACGTAAGTTCCCAATGGAGGCGTCAAAGAGCCTTTTGCCTATTAAGGCGTTATGGTAGACAATAAAACCCAAAGATCATAGAAAATCAGATAATTCAAGTTTGAATTTTACTATAAAACGTTGATCAAAAAGCACACTGGAGGGCTCCAGTGGTAAAGTGAGGAGTGAGTTTAAACTCAAGAGTAAAGTCATGAACGTGGATCAGATGGTTAGTCAGTGGGATATGTCCTTGAGAAAGACGTGACAACCCTAACTGAAAAAAAACCAGGGCGCCGCTTAGTGGTATTACTATTATCATTATCTTTATCATTTTCATTATCATATTATTATTAAACTCCGTTCAGATCCTGCCCGTCCCACGGAACCTGCAATCAGAATGCTAATGGCCCAAATCCGCACGTCCTCCTAGGCGCACTCGTGGGAGGCCCTAAGGTCGACGACTCCTACACTGACGTCAGGAGTGACTACATTCACAACGAGGTTACCACCGACTATAACAGTGGATTCCAGGGAGCTCTGGCTGGTAAGTCTTCGATTTGACCTTAACCTTTTGGGTGTTTAGGAGAAACATAATAGTAAAAGGTAGAGAGCAAGATCGAATAATGTGTTGGATTATATGGTGAAATAGAGAGAGAGAAAGAGGGAGAGAGAGAGAGAGAGAGAGAGAGAAAGAAAGAGGAGGGGGCGGGTGCAGACAGACAGACCGAGAGACCAAGAGTTGGAAAGTGGTAAATTAAGAAAAAGAAAGAGAATATTAAATACAATGTGTGCTCAAACAACAACAATGACAACACCAACTGCAACAACAACATCAACAACAAAAACAACAACAACAACAACAACAGCAACAACAACAACTTCTACAGCTATCAACTAATACGCGTTTTTGCTCTTTTTTTTCAAGGAATCGTCCACTTGCAGCAACGTGGTGCTTTGCCAAGAACAAGCAACAAGTGCCCATGCCCTACGTAAAATGGTTCACGCTTCCAACAACAATGATTCACCCTGAGAAACTGGTTTGAAAATCCAAGACGGCACCCAAAGAGAACAATTTTCAAAAAAAACAAACCCAACAACCTTCCACCAAATTCACCCTTACTAATCCCTATTTACCTTTGAGCTTCTTGCACAATTACATGGCAATGAATGAAAGTCAATCGTTTAGAACATTTTCCGGGAGTGTACGTCTCACTTTAATATTAAATAACAAAGACAGATAAGTATTTTTTTTAAACTTGCACTCCGCCGGACAGAATCTGGAAATTGATTATTTCAATTTTGCCACGCTGTATAACAATACACGCTGATTTGTGATCTGATTAAAAAGTATTAAAGTTAATATTCTTACATCACACCGCAACGAGTTTGTTTCATAATCTGTGACGAAAATGAGCTGCTTTACAGAATCACTGTTTATGTATGTCTGTTACTCCCTTTGTTTCAGTCTCTGTCTCTGTCTCTGTCTCTGTCTCTGTCTCTCTCTGTCTCTCTGTCTCTCTCTGTCTCTCTCTGTCTCTCTGTCTCTCTCTCTCTCTCTCTCTCTCCATCTCTCTCAATCCGTCTTTCTCCCACTCTCCCCTCTCTCTCCCTCTCTCTCTCTCTTTCCCTTATATACACATAAACAAACACACACAGACATGTACACACATGCATAATCACACAATCACCCATTTAAGACTTATATCTTCGGCAAGACGTAAAGCAGTCTGTATCAACTTTTTAAATAGTTACGGGCCACTTATGCCATCTTCAAAGGGGCTACTATTATTTTCGTACTGATTTCCAATATGTATTTCCAAGTGGGCATTAAATAACATCTATCACTGCCAGTTTAATCCCAACCGCCCACCAAAATTATGAACACGCCTAAAAGTGGGTAATAAAGCAACGTTTAGTAAGCACAGAACCAAGGGAAGTCAATTCAGTACGGTTTAATTTCAAAACAATTTCTATTAATTATCTCCCTCATCACAACAATCGCTCCTTTTTTTCTTTTCCTGTTTTAAACAAAAGCACCATTACATTAATATCACAATGATATAATTTTTACCATTACTGAAAGTGTAACAACCAACAGCACAAATTATTCAAAACTGTTTGAGAGAGTTTGCTGCCAGCTATTTAGAACACGACTATGAATTGGTGTACAAAGAAACCATTAAAATGCTAGCAAAAGAAACAAAATCTAACAATGTGTGATTGTTACAACTAGGCATGCATAAAATCTTAAAGTTTATAACCATTACTACATGTATGAGGACCAACCGCACAAATTAGTCAAAACGTAGGAGGTAAAAGTCATAAAGATGCCTTCCATGTTTTCAGAACACATGTGTTTTGGGATATATGTTATTCGTGCAAAGAAACCATTAAAAAGCTAGCTCATGTAGTAAAACACATACGTGTGTTGGGTGCTAAAGCTAGGCATGCAAAAATATCTAATAGGTTGTAACGATTTTTTAAAGTGTAACGACCGACCGCACAAATTACTGAACATTGTTTGAGGACCCCCCCAAAAAATGCTTTCAGCTCTTTTGAAGACATCTGCACTTGGATCAAAATTATTTGTGCAAAGATAACCAAAAAAGTGTCAACTATTGAGGTAAAACAAAACCCCGCTAATCTCTTGGTTGTTACAACTAGGCAAGCAGAAAAAAAAGATTAAAAACATTTCTGACAGTGTATCGACCAACCGTACAATTTATTTGAAAATGTTTGAGGAAAACAATGTACATACAAGTTTTTTAGAACACCATTACGAATGGGTAAAGTTTATGTACAAACAAACCATTAAAGAGCAAGCTCAAGTGATACACCATAAAAATGTGTTTGTTGTAACAAATAGGCATGCACAAAATCTAAAAGATTATAACCATTAATAAAAATGTAACAACCGACAGTACAAATTACAAAAAAACTGTATGAGATCAAAGACACAAAGATGCTTCCAGCTTTTCAGTAAAGAATATATTCGGAAATAGCTTATTTGTTCAAGGAAACCATTAAAAAGATAGCTCTTGTGGTAAAATGAAATATTGCGTTAGTCGTTACAACTAGGCATGCACGAAACCTAGTAGATTATAAACATTTCTGAAAATGAAACAACCGACTGCACAAACTGTAAAAAAAATATTTGACGAAAAAAATGTTATTATTTCAAGTTATTTAGAGCACCATTATACTTGGGTAGGGTTTATTTGTGCAAACAAACCAATACATAGTTAGCTCCTGTGATGAAACGCAATGATGTGTTGATTGTTACAACTAGGCATACACAAAATCTAATTGAAGATAACCATTACTAAAAATGAAAAAAACAAAACAACACACAAATTAATCAATAGGGTAGGAGGTCTAGGGCTTAGAGGTGCTTCCAGCTTTTAAGAACATTTATATTATGTTTGGAAAAAGCTTATAATTTAAGCAAAGAAACCATTTTAAAGCTAGGTCATGTGGTAAAACTCAATAAAAGGTTGGTTGCTATTACAAGGCATGCAGAAAATCTAATACATTAAATTGATTCCTGAAAGTGTAACAGCCAATCGTACAAAATACTCAAAAATGTTTGACGAAAACAAATTTACATAATTATAGTTATTTAGAACACCGCTAAGTCTGGGTAGATTTTATTTACTCCAAGAAAACATTAATAAGCTAGACCATGTGATAAAACATAATACGGTGGTGGTTGTTACAACGAAATATAAAGAAAGTCTAATAATAGTAATAAATGCCATTTGTATAGCGCATGTCCCCACTCAAAAGCAAGCACTATGCCCTTTACATTATAATATCAGCTTCCAGGAAAGCATACCGTACAAGCACCTGGTTAAGCACTCAAACACTAACGAACTGACAAGATTTTTCACTGTCTCTAGCTGGGTACCCATTTTCACCTGGGTGAAGTGGGGAACATTCGAGTAAAGTGCCTTTCCGAAGGACACAACGTCGGGCCCGCAGCTCGAACCCCCGAACCTGCAACCTCACGATTACAAGTCCGGTAGCCTCACCACTAGGCCACCGCCTAATAGATGATAACCATCATTAAAAATGTAACGACTGAACGCACATGTTACTAAAAACCCTAGGAGGTCAAAGACATGAAGGTTATTCCAGATTTCCAAAACACATATGTTTGGAAATAGCTTTTTCGTGTAAGAAACATTAAAAAGCTAGCTCTTGTAGTAAACCTCAATATTGTCTTGGTTGTTACAACTAGCCATGCAGGAAACCTAAGAGAATATATACTTTTCTAAACGTGTAACGACCGACCGCACGTATTACTCAACGTATGTTTGACGAAAAAATGTAAATATTTTAAGTTATTTAGAACACTATTTTTCCAGGGTAGATTTTATTTGTGAAGAAAAAAAAACACATTAAAAAGCTAGCTCATGTGGAAAAAAAATGTGTTTGTTGTTCCAACTAGGCATGCAGAAAGTCTAATTAATGATAACGATTACTAAAAATGAAACGAACGACCGCACATATTACTCAAAACCAGCGGAGGTCAAAGAGATAAAGATGATTCCAGATTTTCATTTATCATCTAGGATTAAATAAAGTTTATATGTGCAAAGAAACAATTAAAAAGCTAGCTCATTTGGTAAAACACAATACTGTGTTGATTGTTACAGCTAAGCATGCTAAAAACTCTAATAGATGATAGCCATAACTAAAACTGTAACCAACGACCGCATATTACTCCAAACAGTAGTAGGTCAGAGACATACAGGTGATTCCAGATTTTTAGATCGCATCTAGTCTTGGATACAATTTAGTTGTACAAATAAGCCTATAAAAAGTTAGGTCAAGTGGTAAAACCCAATAATGTGTTGGTTGTTATTACTGGGCATTCAAGACATCTAATGTTAAAACCTTTTCTTTAGAGCAACGACCAATCGTACGAAATACTCAAAATACATATGTTCAACCAGTAAAAATGTAAATACTTTAAATCATTTCGAACACCGCTATGCCAGGGGAGAATTTACTTTTTCAGATAGCCATTTAAAAGTTAAGTCATGTGATAAAACATAACAATATGTTGGTAAAATCTATAAAGCATGCAGAAAATCTAATAGATGATAGCCATCATTAAAAATGTAACGAGCCATCGCACATATTACTAAAAACCGTAGGAGTTCAATGACAAAAGAATGATTCGAGATATTTAGTCGTGCAAATAAACCATTGAAAAGCTAGCTCATGTGGTAAAATACAACAATGTGTTGGTTGTTACAACTAGACATGCATAAAACCTACCAGTTTATAACCATTTCCCATAGTGTAACGACTGACCGTACGACTTACTCGAAAACGTTTGACAACAAAAAAAGGAAACACTTGAAGTTATTTATTACACCATTGTTTCTTGGTAGCATCATTTGTCCAAAAAACCATTAAAAAGGTATCTCCTGCGATAAAAAACAATAATGTCTTAGTTGTTTAACCAAAGCAAGCACAAAGTCTGTTAGATGATAATTATTAATAAAAATGTAAAGACCGACCTCACATATTATTACTCATAGCCGTAGGAGGTCAAAGAGATGGAAATGGTTTCAGATTTTCAGATTGCTTCTAGGCTTGGGTAGAATTTAGTCGTGCAAATAAACCTTTAAAAACTTGTTCATGTGATAAATCAAAATATTGTCCTGGCTGTTACAATTAAGCATGCAGAAAATATAATACATTAAAACCTTTTCTGAAAGTGTAACGATCAACCGTACAAAATACGCAGTATATGGGTGACGAAATAAATGTAAAGACTTCAAATTATTTAGAAAACCACTATGCCTCGGTAGAGTTTATTTGTGCAAAATAAACCATGAAAAAGCTAGCTCATGTAATAAAACACAATACTGTGTTGGTTGTTAAAACTAGGCATGCAGAAAATCTAATAGATGATAACTATTACTAAAAGTGTAACGACCCACCGCACATATTACTCAAGGCGTAGGAAGTCAAAGAGATAGAGATGACTCCAGATTTTTGGTTCACATCTAGGCTTGGATCGAATTAAGTGGTGCAAATAAACCATTAAAAGACTTGGTTGTGTGGAAAAAACAACAATACGTTGGTTAATACAAGATGCGGGAAATCTAATACATTGAAACAATTTTTGAAAGTATAACGACGAACTGTACGAAACTCTCCATAAAGTTTAACGAAAAAAAAAGTACTTTAAGTTATTCAGAACACAAATACCCTGGGAAGAGATCATTTGTTCCCAAAAAAAAAACCAACCTATAAAAATCTAGGTCATGTGATAAAACCTAATATTGTGTTGATTATTACAACTAAGCGTGTAAAAGATCTAACACATGAAAACCATAATTTAAACTGTAACTACCGACAGCACATATTACAACAACAAAAAACCCTCACCAAAAACATACACACAAAAAAACCCCGTACAATATCACAATATCAAAGACATAGATGATTCCAGATTTCAAAACATATATGTTTGGAAATAGCTTATTCGTGCAAAGAAACCATTATAAAGCTAGTTCAAGTGGTAAAACACAATAATGTGTTGGTTCTTATAACTAGGTATGCAGAAAATCTGACACATTGAAACCATTTCTTAAAGTGTAACGACCAAACGTACAAAATACTCGCAAAATTGTTTTTAAAAAAATGAAAATTACTTTGATTTTTTAAGAAAAAATGCCTTGTTAGAGTTTATTTTAGAACAAAATTTTTTTTTAAAAAGGTAGGTCCTGTGATAAAACATAATGATGTGTTGGTTATTACAACCAACCATGCAGAAAATCTAATAAATGATAGCCATAATTTAAAATGTAACCACCAACCGCATACATTACTAAAAATCGTAGGAGGTTAAAGACATAAAGATGATTCCAGGTTTTCCCAACATATATGTTTGGAAATTCTTATTTATGCAAAGAAATCATTATAAAGCTAGCTCTTGTTGTAAAACACAACTTTGTTTTGGTTGTTACAACTGGGCATGCAGTAAACCTAATAGATTATAAACATTTCTTGAAGTGTAATGGCCGACAGCACGAATTACTCAAAAAATGTTTGACGAAAAAATTGCAAATACTTTAAGTTATTTCGAACACCACTCTACCTGGGTAGACTTTATTTTTGCCTTCATACCGTTAAAAACCTAACTCATGTGATAAAAGACAATAATGTGTTGGTTGTTACAATAAGGCATGCACAAAAATCTAACAGATGATAACCATTGTAAAACTGAGACGACCGACTGCAGATATTACTCAAAACTGTAAGAGATCAAAGACATAAACGTTACTCCAAATTTTCAGATCACATCTAGGCTTAAATTTAGTTTATTTCCTCAAAGAAACCCTTACTCATGTGGTAAAACTCAATTACGTGTTGGTTGGTATAACTAGGAATTAATAAAGAAAATCTAATAGATCAGAAACATTTCTGAAAGTGTAACGGCCGACCGTACAAATTACTAGAAAAATGTTTGACGAAAAAGAAAAGAAAGAAACACTTTAACTTATTAAGAAGACCATGGTGCGTGGGAAGAGTTATTTGTGCAAAGAAATCACTGAAAAGCTTGCTCATGTGATAAAAACCTACTCGACTATAACCATTTTAAAAGTGTAACAACCGACCGTGCGAATCAGGCTGAAGCCATTGTGGACCAGGCCCGTTCCGTTTTTTCGACGCCGTTCTTTTGCCATGACGGGGAGAAGAATCAACCTGGTCGAACTGCTATGTGGTGTCACCATCGACCGGGCGGCCAGAGTTACAACCAGCAAGGCACGCATTTTAACACAGTCGATGCCAAATGATTTGTCCGACTCAAAGTCTCAAAACCAAATCTTAAAAATTGGGTAGCCTCGAAGGTCTTGGGAAAACCAGAAACCCAGAGATAAGTATGTTGCTTTTCCCTTTCGAGAAATTTCCGAAACCCAAACACTTACAGACAAAGTTGAGTACACTCAGCATCTGCCACCATCACCAGTTTCTGTTACCTGAAAATATGAAAAGCTTCAACGCATTAATAGATTCTATTAGGTTATCTAAGTGGCGTTTCGAGTTGAACGTTCATCACCGGAAGGACCTAGCCAAATAGGACATTTGTATAAAGTGCTTTCACGAAGATCAAAACGTTGGACCGAGCTGAGGCTCGAATTCCCGAGTCAGCAATCTCGTGATTACGTTCCGGTAACGTAACCACCGAGTTACCGACACAACATTCTTTCCTTTGGTCAACTATTTCAGAACAAATCTAATTATGATAAGCATTGGTTCACTATATGTACCAGAGAATAACTATTGCTGTCTGTGGTGTAGCGTTTAGGCACGTCGCAGTCGCATGCAGAAGACTGGATTTTAATTTCAATGTTTATCAAGGGTACCTCTGTCTTTCTGATGAAACATCGTATTCGTACCCCTCTTAGCCCTGGGTAACCCTGTTTTTCTCTCTCCTCTGAGCTCCTGACTCTTTCTGCAGCCTTTCCACTGCTACTATCTGGTCCCTTATTACTCCTGCCTTTCAGCCACATCCATGATCTTCTGGTAGGAAAGATCTACACCCAGTAGTCTCGAAAAATGGCGAAAAATCTCGGCGCTCCCGAATGCAGGTTGCGCAGGTTAAAAATCTCTTGGTGGTCTAAAATTGATAAGAGTAGGCTTCGGCACCACCCGTGCAAAATTTAAAATTTCCTACCAACTGAAAATGTTTAATGTATCCCGCGCCCGCGCGCTAATATGACCTTATGTAGTTGTGAGCGCCGTAAAATACTTACCAAAAAAAAAAAGCAAATCAAAACAAAACAACAACATTAAAATCCATCAATAATTTATCTCTATAAACAAACGGATGGCTCCAACCTTTTGATTGATATCTTAGCAATTTGTCAAGACGCAGGAAGTATGTTCTCATATTAAGTTATTAAATATATGGAGAAGACATAAACGTAGTCCATGTACTGTTGAACTACCATCGGAAGCATGCAAGTTTGTTATAGGCCCAGTTTGTCACAGGCCTCCACTGTACCCTGCATGATAAAAGATATCACTGAAACTCTCAAAATGAGTAAATTAATGATTGATTGATTGTACGAATGGAATTTTATTTTTCAATTGTTTTCAATGAAAGAACATTTATTGTCGAAATTTTACACAGTAGAATCTAATTTAAATTTGCTTTGATTTGCATACAAATAAAGAAGAAATATTGAACAACACAAGCTGAATTGAAATTTTAGAGGGACTATCTCTGCATCGTCAATTTGAAGGTGGAGAATTTAAAAAACTTAAGTTGCAACTACAGTGTTAAAGTGCTGTAATAATGACTGTCATCAATAGTCAAATACCTAAATAAAACTGAGACAAACTGGGCCTGTGACAAACTGGGCAGCGCCCCTATCTTATACCTGGTTACCTGGTTGTGCCATCTCTGGCTCATGGGTTAAACGGACAATAATTTCCTAGCTGACATCATGCACTCTGTCATATTAGGAACCAGTCCATGCCTTGATCATCTCTCTCTCTCTCTCTCTCTCTCTCTCTCTCTCTCTCTCTCTCCCTCTCTCTCTCTCTGTCTATCTATCAAATCCATCTATCGATGTTTCGATCTATTAATCTAATGGTGCATATTATTCACCGTAAGGGAGATAATAGTAACTTTTAACATTATATCAGAATTCTAATAGATTACTTCCCATAAGGTACGCATTGGGCGATACTGAAGTGGGTTATTTATGACTAGGAATGTTTCTTTATTCGCGATGTAAGACATAATTAATTACATCTATCTGAACTTGTGGACAGAGTGTGTGTGTGTGGGGAGTGGGGGTCGTAAGCCACTTGAATTTCCGACTTTCAAAGATATTCGCCGCCTAATAACGTTTATAAAGGGGGGGGGGGTGCAGGGGGTGTCAAACCCACACCATTTTCATTTCAATGACGTTTGCGCGAATTCAAGTCGTTCTCAGAATGTTGAAGGGGACACTGCCGCATTGGACCTCATTGGACCATGTGACAGTGGGTGTCTCAAATTGTGAATTCAAAATGTTTCCAGGAAATTGAAATAAACACAATGCGAAAACAAACAACAACAAATCAAAACGAAAACAAACAAACAAAAAGACAAACACAAACGGTGTACAGCAATGCCAACATGAGAATCGTTCGCCACGTTTAGTGAGTTTACAACCAGCTTGGCTTTTCAATTATCCTGCTCTGAACCAACAACGCTTACAACTTCTCTTTGGACGTTGAGCATTCAAATACAGACAATTACCATTCACTACATTTCGTCTGAATTTTCATGTATTTAAATACAACACAGACTGGTGGCATTCAAACGGCAGGTGCCCCTCATACTTGGTGATTTGGGGTCAAATCCCGAATGTTGAGTTATTTCTGATCGGTGACGTTCATCCACTTTTGCATCTAAAAGCAATTATTGACAAAATAAAACAATTTTCTTTTCCATGTAAAACATTATCCTTGAAAACATGAACATAGCAAACATTTTGGGAATTTTTCCCAAAAACCAAACTCAAAACCTTTGTTGTAGTTTGCATACTACGATTCTAATTTTTATTCTACATGCATTAAACTTTGAGGAACTCTTTGGTAAATACAAACACAGTTGCATAAAATCATACAATTTTAAAAGATAGATTTGCAACAGATTGTGTAAACTACATTAGATGACCTGCTACATGTTTAAATAAAACTCAAAGAAGAGAGTCAGTTTGAAACAAATTTCAAAACTCTAATATGACATTTAAGAACTTCAATCTCACCGATATGGTAAGGGGTGGGGGAGGGGGGGGATTTGGAGGATCATTTTTTTTAATGGAATTATTTTATGGTGTTTATTTTCAAGATGAGAGCCGTTTCCAGAACAACTGTAGTAAGCATACATGCACAAAAAGCGTCATGTAAAGATTTCACCATATCTAAGTCACATAAATAATATTATATAGATTTTTTAAAATCGCAAGTTCTTGGTTTAGAAAATGGGCCTCAAAGGTCGCCCCTATCTTTATGTTCCACAACTAAAGATCAGGAAAACACCTAATTAAAGCCATGATTCTAACAAACAGATTGAGAACTAATATTGTATTCAAGATTACAAAGACAAATTTCAATAGTACACTATTCAATCTATATTGAAGAGAAATGAACATTAAAACGGTAACGATATGTCCTGCAGAACATTAAGAGAGCCATCAGGTCATCGTCGGACGAGTTGACGCCCTTAGTTTTTGCATTGACAGTCGGTGCGTACGCTTGGCATTTGGTGGTGCTGTTGCAAAGAGATAATACCTGCAACAAAAGAAAATACAAATGTAATATTCCCTTAATAATCCTGCTCTGAGCTAACAATCATGAGATATAGCTTCTCTTGGACGTGGAAATTAGAAATACAAATATTCGCCATTCACAACACTTCGTCTGGAATTTGATGTATTTAAATACAACACAGTCTAGTGACATTAAAAGGACAGGGTGCCCTTTATACTTGGTGATTTAGGGTCAAATACCGAAGTTTGAGTTGTTCATGATACCTGCAACATAAGAAAATAGAATTTAATGGCCGCTATTTTGTTTAGTTGACCTTGTGTGGGCCTATCCATGATGGGCCTAAATGTTTTCAAACAAAGTACTATTCAACGAAAATGGAGACTATGTTGCGAAATAGAAATCTGATCCTCAGATGCTCCCAGTTAAACGAAACATTTATTGTGTAGACAACTTACAGTATTGATGCTGAGAGTGACAGTCTATTTATTTTCTGCAAATGTTTTTTCTATATCTCAATCAAAGGTACTCTTTCCCTTTATCTGCATCTCTCTCTCTCTCTC